CCCCCCCCCCCCCCCCCCCCCCCCCCCCCCCCCCCCCCCCCCCCCCCCCCCCCCCCCCCCCCCCCCCCCCCCCCCCCCCCCCCCCCCCCCGCCCCATTTTCGATCGTGTTTGTGAAGAAACACGCAATATTTCATAGTAAATAGTACTTTACGGAGCATGCAACTATGATGCAAGAGTCTAGTGAAAGGAAATCAGGAGTGTTAGGTAATAAGCTGGTCGTATTATTGATGACTATATCTTGATCTTGGCTGGATGAATCCAACGTAGAGTCTAATCATACCATGATAACTGCCTTGGTAGTTGTGGTTCTACCTTGGGAATCCCAAAGGCATGCAACCCGGAGCCTTACAATACCATTCACTCCATTTGGTTATTTCCCTGAGTATACCAGAAGGGTGATGTATTGCTTCATACAAACTCTGAATACCTCATTCTACTCATACTTCATTTTCCTATATGTTGCCCAAATCACTCCTTTTGCCACCATTTTCTTCACGGATATTCCTCTTGCCTTCTAAGCAAACACCACCCGTGTTCTATGTTCGTACTTTAAGCACCAGTCTAGACACTAAATATAACAGTATATAACATACCTCTTTCTCTCAGAATTAACGATTTCCCAGGGCGTCCCTTCTAGCCTTTCCTCTAAACAACAACATGAGCCAGATGATGTTCCATAGCAACAACCCCTTTTCATTGCTTGATGCTGAGTAAGTGCATTCCTTTACTCCTATATTATACCTTAGGTATCTATATAAGCATTAATCTACCCTTATCCCCCACCTCTCTATGCCGCGGACATCCTAATTGCCTTCCTCGTGTCTTCTTATTGAAGCTCGTCTCTCCGTTTTCAAACTACTAAATATATACTTGATTAGCGACGGCCCAGAATCTACCAACTATCCGGTAATAGAGGCTCGTAAGACCACGAGCGATGAGGAACAGAGGAGCGCCGGCGCTGTCATCGCTCCTTTGGCCGGCTACGCAGCGAACGGACGAATGATCCGAACGCTTGGTCAAATCTGGGCTCAATCTGGAGAAGCTGTGTCTGCTTTCGTTGAGAATATCTTCGAGTCGGAGTACTTGGGCTATGACTTGAAAGCCTTTGAAGGTCTTCCTGCCTGGGCCGTCCCGCTTCCCGAGGACTTCGACGAGGAGAAACATGCTGGTATGTATATTTCTTGCAAGGTGATTTTGGTCTTATAATATTTCTACTTTCTACAAGATCTCGCCGCTGTATATTTTCCTTTGCTTGATACTTCCACGGTTTGTGTCCCCTTTTAAAGTCCTGAGTATACAATAACATCGTATAACCCATCATATAGGGGAAAAGGAATACTACTAACTCCATGGAACACTAGGCCGGGCGACTCATAAGTATGCCTTAGAGAGGAGACTTCACGTCTGCATTGAAGTTGACCCATCGCCTAAGCAGGCCTGGCTCAAGCCCGTTTTGGATACCACCATGGAGAACTGGATTCGCGACTCCAAGAAGCGTCTTTACGGCGTCAATAAATTATGGGAAGCATATGACTTCCTCTGCTACTGGGCTCTGGATGTAGCCAGAACTGGGACAACGTGTCCTCTCCTCTTTGCTTTGGGTAACTACACCCAAAACAGCATCCGCAATTTTTGTCTCTCTGTGAACGAACAGGTGAAGCTCTACGAGGAATGTGTAGGCAAACATGCGACCGGCACTGACGAAGGTTGGACCACGTACAAAGGCAAGGGCAAGGAGACCGTGGCTGGCAGCGTGAAACCTGCATTTCGGGACGATAAACTAAATGACGAAGATGGAGACATCCGCTCTCGCAGTGTAGCTGCCGAACCTCATGTTCCGAAGTGGCATGGACACAGATCTTCGAATCTTACTATCCGACACCAACGCGGGTCAACCTCAACCACGCCTTCTACCCCCACACCACGCCCACAATTCAGCTTCACACATCGACGTGCCGAGCAAAGCAACACCCCACAAGCCAAACCACCCAAGCCAGGCCCCGCAGCGCCGAAAACACCCGAAGACGCCATCGCGCAGATGGCCGAAGCGACGCGCCGCGGCCTGGCCGACCGCAGACCTGGCGTTCCAGCGGGAACTGTACGAGCGGTTCCCGCCGGGAGACGAGGGACGCGCCGCGGAGCTGCGGCAGTGGGCTCGTGCCGTTGGCGAGCAAGTCGAGGACTACAAGGCTGAGCGGGCGAAACACGCTCGTGCTGATGCTATTGCTCGATAGGGTCATGGGACTTATGGCTGCTGATCGGAGGGAGTAATCATGGATGAGTCTTAACCTATACGACGTGCGTACACGCCTTGGGTGCGGGAGTTGAAGGATATAGGGGTTAGGAGAGAAGCATGGTGTTAGTTATATTTTATGTAACACCGTATTACCACTAGCAAGTCTCTGGAGAGTTGCTAGAGTATTATTATAAGTATATTGCCGTCTGCTCTGTACTTTGACCCAGAAACCAAGGTAACTTAACAAGAGACAAACCGTGGCACATTCTCTCCTCATTCGTAGTATTTAATTCCTCAAAAAGCACCAATCATAACGTTAAGCAAGGGCTCATTCATTGAAAACATTTTGTATTATATACATTACTCATTTAACATTGGAGGTTAGCTTTATATATGTACATATTTAACTAACTTTGATGACCCTTTGATGACCTTTTATCATTACTGAGTTAAACTTTGCTCTGGGCTTGGTCTCATGACCGTCGCGTACCCTTGTATGCAAAAGTGTTTTTTCGTAGTTCCTATTTTCCCCCCATCCCCAAACTCCGGTGGCTGGTCTAATACATCGCGGATGTAATAATGCTGCAGTAGTGTTGCAGTTTAGCTGCCACAAATTTATTCGTTGATGTTCACCTTGGGGCTGTCCGCCTCATTAATTCCTTCCCTTGGTAGGGTTGATGTATGATCTTTTTTCAAGAACTTCTTGCCTTTAGATTTTCCGTTACCTAGCCTTGGACTTGACTCCGTTGGCTCGAGCAGCGGATGACGGGTGAAGGTTATCGTTAATGGTTGAATCGTCGCTGTCTTCGATGATAGCGCCCTCATTACTCTCTCCATATACCTCGCGCTCAAGGCCCTTTGCAGCATCCCAGCTAGCCTTCTCTGCTAACATGACATTGCTTAGGCGGCGGTCCGGGTTGCTCTTAGCACGGACGACCTCAGCCTTGCTACGGCGCAGGTAGCTCGTGATGAAGAACGACACGAACAGGTAAGTTAAAGGTGCGAGGTAGATAACGTTAAGCCAAATCGCGAAGGTTGCACCGCTTGTTGTAATACAGTCAACCTTTTGATACTGAGTTACGTAATTGGCACCCTGGTGCGTGGAATTAGCTTCGGACGAGGACACCACGGCGGCAGCACCCGCAGCTTCGGCAGCGCCGAAAAGTGTTTTCTTGAGACCGTTAACAAAGCTAGCGGCGCTGGGGGTCGCGCTTGTGGAGGCGGAGATGCTCAATGCCGCGGCAGTAGCTTCAGCAGTAGCAACCTCGACCTGAACCGGGACCAAGTACGACATGAACGAATGGACAATGGCAACGGAGGCACCAATGATGAACTGTGAGATCTGGAGCGAGGTAAGTGTGCGCTTGACTACCTGAGGCACGCGGACGTTGAAAGCTGTCACGGTAAAGTAGGTGTACTTCCTCGATGTTAGCAGGTGAAGATATAATTAGACTTAGAGACGATAACTTACCATGAGAGCATGGATAGCCGAGTTGAAGAAGACAAAGATCCAGATGGGTGTCGACATATAGCGCATACCAGCCCACATGGCCATCATAGCACCGGCGTGGTGGTAGGTCTGGAGTGTCGAGCTGTATTTGCCCTTGGCGAGGATAATCAGGGTATCAATAACCTCGTAGAACTTGCTGATGTAAAAGATCCAACCGTAGAATGCCAACCCTTCGTTCCAAATTCGGCCCCTGTCATCAGGGCTGGGAGAATACATAGTGTTTGTAGCACCGGCACCTAACGATGGCTCCCAGAGTCCTCGAGCCTGGTTGTAACTGATACCATTTTCCAGACCAGCAGTTCCGTGGATCTTGCAGATACTGTCAACAGTACCGGCCCAGCCATTGGGTCCGGCCGGGCTCACGATCGAGTTCCGGAAGGTATTCAACATGCCTAACCAGGTCCATGCCGAATATACAGCAAGGAAGACGTTATGGAGAACAACTAGGAAGTGGAATGTCTTCGTCTTGCTGATAGCCCATGGCTTCTTGCCGGTTGACCTGTTGTATGCATTAAGCGCCTTAGCGGTGACCGCGTAGATGGCGGCGATGGTAATAGGCACTTTTGGGTCCAAGGCGTTGACGTATAAATTGTCTGGTATCCGGAAAGGTGCGTTAAAGCTCGGAGGAGGAATAGCATGGGGCTCTGAGTGAGGCGGGAACTGGAAAAGGGTGGCCGCTGGAGGCGAGAGGAGGACGATTGGTGTAGCCATTCTCGATATTTGTATCCCAGATCGGAAAGAAGAGTCTTTGAAACTCCGGCAACTAGAATTATATGTGCTGGATAACGGATGGATTCAGGAAGATGTAGAATACGCACGCGACAGGTTGCGATATGTACACTTATATCTACAAGACAGGCCGAGGTGTAAGTCGAGAGTTGTCTATGAATGCATTGAGCAAGAAAGAAAAAAAATTGCAATATGGGCCTTACTAGGAGTCACAAATAAATAAAAGGTCACGCTTAAAAAGATTAAAAAGACATATGTAGGAGGGGGTTGGCTCCTTTTTTCGACGTTATCAAATATATAAACCGCCTGTGTAAATTTACCACAAGGGAAAAAAAAATTTAAAAATTGAGGAATGCAATGCGGCAAGGTTCCTGCAGGCTGGACCGCGGTACAATTGATTTCTGGGTGCGCTAAAGCTGGGTTGGGACAGGGGGAATGACGGCGCGGTCACGATATCTGTCGTCGCTCAAGTACCACGAAGCCAGAAAAAGCTCAACAGTTGAAGAGTCTGGTATCTGGTAAGGCTTTCCTTGATTTTCATTGGTCTCTTTAACTCGCCCCTGCCGAATCGGGTATAAGCACTGTTTTCGGGTGGTGGAATTTTCGAACTGGCTTCTATACATTAGGTACATTAGGTATGTACTCTGGCGCTAACAGATACCTGTGAAAGTACCTAACCTAGGTAAGTTAGGTACATACATATCGTATCGGGTAGACATTACTTACATACCTATAACTATCCTGTATTTGCCCATACATCATATGTTCTATATGTAGTCTGGGAGCGTATTGTGCTCGCATTTCCCCGCTTATCGGTCATAAGGATGCAATCTTGACATATCCTTTCTTCTATTTTGTTTTGTTGGTGACACAAAAGCAAGTTTCCTATCGAGCCTCTGCGGGTGTCAAACCAGACGGCATCTGGCATAATGCTGACCCCCATTGACCCTAGACTCTGACCGCTCCTCTAACGATTAGAGTTAGCATGTGGTGGCATCTGATATGCCGAGGAAAGTTCGTTATGCCCGGTGTTTGTGGATCTCTTCATCATCCTAAGGACCGACTGGGTTTGCGAAAAGCGGCTTTTATGCCGATATCATACTATGTAGTCGTCATGAGAGGACGAAGAGCTGAGCTCTGCAGCCCGATATCACAACTCCGCCTCGGTAAGACCATCTAGAATCCATGGCGAGTACCAAACTGGAAAACCTAAAATTATGTTGTTGGTACCTAGACCAGTCCGGAGCACCGGGATACGGATAGTGTGGGTCGGCCGGCGTTGTGGGTGCCGCGAGCGAAACAACCCAAAGACTCTCCGAGTTTTGTCAACTCAAGAAACTTTGGTTTTGATTTTGATATTTTCTCTTTCTTTTATATCTTGACCGGACATGGAATGGACTATTATACTCATTCTCACTCATGCATAATAGTAAGCAGTTACTTGTCTGGGTGAGGGTATTATTGTTCAAAAGGTGGGATTCTCACCGTTTGGTGGTTCTTGAAGCTGCTGACGATGAGCCCGGATAACTTACTACCTATGGTAGTATGCATGTACCTAATGTTGCATTATCAAGTACCCAGGTAGGCAATCAAGCCTCAAAGTTCCGAGATCCGCTTCCCAACAAAACCAGCAGTTTTGGAGTCTTGCCTTTCCCCTCATTGCATAACCCCCCGCATTATCCCCTTAACTGGCATAAGACTACAACCCCCCCTGTAATCGGTATTGTACAAAGTCAGCCTACAACATGCGCGTAATAGATCCACTTTTATTTAGACCCAAGGCCTCTGATTGGTAGGAGGCTCCTCATGATCGACGATACGAAAGGATACGAAGCTGATTCCTCAGGATCTTATCCTTTTTAATAAAAACATCACTTTTTCGAAATAGCCTCAAATCGCTGTATGTCGACGACCTCGTTTCTAGCCCGCTTTTGACGTATTGTCGTCGCTTTTGATGTCCCTCGATAGCTAAATGGCCTTGCAACACCCTAATATCGATGATATCGCTGCCTAGCTTGGCCTGGTTATTATATAAGGTGACAAAACAAACCCTGCAACCAGACAACCAAGAGCCTGTGCTAACCTTAATACAGGTACGTACGCATTTTAAGCCTCAAATAGCTTGGCTATTTGATAGCCCTACTTAGAAACCTGTCCAATCATTAGGGGATTGGATAGATATATATCATTAGAAACAGGGCTAGGGGGTACGGATTTGATACTGAGGCTCGTTAGAAAGGCTTAAAAACAACGTCAAAAGGGGGTAACACAAGGATCCCACAGCGATATCATCGAATAAAAACAACAACACTGTCAGCGTGTTAGGCCTGTAAAGGCAACACTATTTGGGGACGACCTCGTCGGGGACTGACTGGTTTGAATGAAAGGGTTCTGAATAGCCTCACTTATAGACTAGGTAGCTATTTGTAACTCGAAGGAATACTGGTACAACTGGCACAGGCTAAATTAGGTGTAAAATTAAGTAGTTTGATTTCATTGGTCGATAGCCTTAGAATTAGATTATCTCGTAGTACTGTACTAAAAATAGTGGAGGTGTAGTTTTATGCCAGTTAAGGGGATAATCGTATCAGCCAATGCATTTTTCGTTTTCAGGGGCGAGTTCTTGGGTGGGTGGAGTCCCCAGGTTGATCGCACCAGATCTCCCAATCAGGAATCAGGGTTGTGAAAAGGTACGTAGATACATATGCGGACATATGCGGAGTGCCGACTTATAAGCCATAACCTGAATTTCAATAAATTGTCTAAGAACGCGCTCGTCCGGAAGTCGTCAGAGTACAGCCTGT